TTAATATTATTATCATTACCATATTTATTATCACCTACTGGCTTTCCTCAGATGAAGACCGTGTCGACATTCTCATCAACAACGCCGGCGTCCTGACGGGGAACAAGAGACCCACAGAGGACGGCCTGGAGAGACACATGGGAGTGAACCATTACGGTGAAGCTATGGCTCACGAATTATCCCCCCTCGCTCTCTCCACTTTCCACCCACTGGTCGTCGCTGTTGTCAGATTACTCATCTTCCTCTTCTTCCTCCCCCACCTCCTCCTCTGCTTCTTCTTCTTCTTCCTAGCTTTATGAAATGGCGAGGTAATGAAAATTTCTCCTCCTCCTCTTCCTCCTTTTCTTCCTCCTCTTCCTAATCTGTACCGTGGTGAGACACTGAAAATGGCTCCTGTTCCTCTTCCTCCTCCGCGTTCCATCCTTCTCCTTCTCCTTCTCCTAAACAATATTGTGAGGTGGTAATGTTAATTATTAATGAGCCCTACTCCTCCTCCTCCTCTATGTGATGGTAATTTAACAGAAATAAATAAATTCCTTTTTAGTTTATGAAAACAGAGGTTGTATACATCTAATTCTCACAGTGTCACATAGACCCAACACTTGATTTGTAAGACACAACCAAACGGCTAATACATGTAGCAGGAAAAATAGATATACTCATACTCAGCATTTCCATGTCCCAAGGAATAGCGTCGTAAAACGCAAAACAGGGAAGTCCAAACCAATCCTATAAATGTTGTACATGTAGAACCAATCCCAGTTTTACAGAAGCCAAACCCACGACAGCAACATACAACAGAACTCAATGGGCAATACTACTGTTGTTGTTTTTTTTATCTGTAGCTATTAATGTTCATTGAAGAAAATGCCGAAAAGGGAAGTTAAAAATAAAAAAACGTCAGAGAATACAACTTACGAAATATTTCGTGTGTATACATGTAATCCTGAATGAGTGTTTTGCTTATACGTGAAGGGTTGCTTCTTCTGGTGGTGGGTGGTGTGTTCATTAATTGTTTCCTCGCTCATTTTAAAGGGAAAAGAGAAATGCCAAAGAGAAGAAAAAAGAAAATGGATGGTTCAACATAGTTTTTTCGGGAAATACTATGCACCGGAAACCAACGGTAATGAAGTAAGAGAGAGAGAGAGAGAGAGAGAGAGAGAGAGAGAGAGAGAGAGAGAGAGAATGTAACATGCTTATGTATGTAATAACTGCGTTAAAAGTACAAAGACATGTATGCGGAAAAACGAAAGTTCATTAGATAAACAATGTACAACAACTGCCATCCCCAGGACATTTCCTTCTGACCCAGTTGCTGCTGGACAAACTGAAAGCCTCGGCTCCCAGTCGCATCATTTTTGTGTCCGCCTGGGTGCAGTTCTACTGGCCCATGGATTTTGACCACTGGCCCCAGAACAAAAAGTGGTTTTTCAAGGCATACGGTCAGAGCAAACTGGCCAATGTCCTGACTGCTAGAGAGCTGAGCCGTCGACTCAAAGGTATTGTAAATGGCAATCTGTTCAAAATCATTACCTGGGAAAACAGCCATTTCCCACTCCCCCCCCCCC